CGATGTTGTTGGGTGAGGAGATTGATAAAAGATGGAAATCAGTCAAATCCAAGATGCAAGGAAAAAGTGGTTTTTTGGAAAGGGGTGGGCCCTACCGCAAGGCTAGAGCAAGAAGGGGAAGGGGCCAAAAAGCGATGGGGGCGGCTGGAATTTCTATGGGTAATCCAGCTTCATGAGCTCGTTATTAAGTCACCTCTAACTATGTTAACTTAATAATCTATAGTTGTGTTAATGTTCGACACGACCCAAAAATCCTACCTGAAATTTTCAGGTTCGAGTCAACCTGTGTGGGAAACGGGTCAAGTTCAAGTGTCAATTTCTGACTCGATTGTAAATCCAAATTGGGTTTGAGTCAACCCAAAAAACTCGAACTCAACCAAGAACTTACCCAATATCTCCCGCATAAAAGCTTGATCCTGCCCGTGCTTGCACCGACATCGTGACCTCCCCTCATGGTCGCACGACCGCGACCCCTTTGTGCTCGGGTCAGGTCGACCCCTGTTTGGAATGGGCTAGATCCGGATTTTTTTTGGGTCAAGTTGGGGCCAAAGCTCATTTCAATCAAACAAAATGAATACATAAAGAAATTGATAGCTACCATAACTTACCAGTAGCAGTCAACAAAACCTTATCAGCATAAAAAAGGCTGCATAACAAATGAAAACATATTACAAACTATCAGCCAAAACTGTAAAAAAAATAGTAAAAGAAATGGATCTACTCAACATCTAAGAAAAAATACAAGTAGCCACAATGACAAAACTGGCAGAAAGACTTGTAGAACTGATACCGCAAAAAGGAGCTCCCAAGCCTATCAAAATATGGACTCAGATATAACAAAAGAAGGCACAGAACAGTCAATGTTCCCTGGTTGCCCGTAGACCATCCAAGGGAACCAAAAACGGGAGCTTCATTATCGTCCAGGTAAGGCTTTTGTAATCGATAGCAGCGTCTGGGAAGTGAAAAAGACTGAGCCAGGCAAGAAGAAGCCAGCTGCCTTATAGTAATTCCAATAAATCCAGTGAATTATCCCATTTATCAGTTTTCTCAGAAATGTTTCTTCTAATGTTGTACAACAACATAGTATGATAGTTAAAAGAATTCCCAAATCTTTTACTATTCCGCTCTTTCCAAATATGATAAATAACACAACAAATGATCACAAAAAAGAAGTTTTTAACATTCTTATTGCCTTTATAATTACCTTTTAACCATTCAAATACCTGCATAATGGTAGGCCTAAAAAAAAAACTTTGCAATCCAGGAATTAAAGCAGTGAGAATAGAGAATGTATAAGAACATTCAAAAAATAGATGAGAAACTATTTCATTAAAGGAATGGTACAGATTGCAAGTTCCCGGAATCATAATATTACGTAATTGAAGAGCATCAACAGTTTTTAGTCCACCAACTAAAGCCAACCAAACAAAAACTGAATGCTTAATGATGTTTCTTTTAGCCCAAACCATTTTATGCCAAGAGCAGTTCTGAAATTCAGAATAGAATTCCTCAATGAAACTTTTGAATTTATAATTACTCTGGTTTTTCCAAAGCAGACAAGGTCCAGCTTCCCCGATAGCATTAAACCCAACAATCAAATTTCTCAAATTCAAAGGAAAGATCTCAGGAAAAACCCACTGAGAGCCAGAAATTAAATCTTTCAAGGAAAAATCTGGACAATTATCCACAAGTGAGCCCCCTAAATACTTAGAGATGGTGACATTGTGACACCAATGGTCCCATTTCAATGAAATAGGAGCATTCTAGGTGATTTTGAAATTGAAGCAATGTTTGACTTCCACAGCAGTCTTATATATAGTTTTCCATAGTTTAGAAGCAAAAACCGGAGGGGGCATCCAAGGGGATTTATAATGACAGAGAAGTCAATAGGAAAGAGGGGAGGAACAATTATACATCCTAAAAATAACATAGCAATTATAAGCAAATTGTAAAGCAATGATGGAGGGGATGCCCAGACCACCCTTGTTTTTAGGCAAACAAATTTTATCCCAAGACACCATATGAAGTATTTTAGCAATCATAGAATCACCAAAAAACACAAACCTAGAACTGGTTTTTTGATGAATTTGTAATCAGATTTAGGTAAAGTGGAAACCCTTATCCAGTACGCAATGGTATTCTTAATAGTGAATTTGATGTATTGCAAGACAACAGGTTGGCCTTTCAACCATTCATTTTCTTATTGACACTGTCCATAAGAGGCAGATAATCCTCAATTTTCAGTTTATAGAAAGATAATGGGATGCCAAGATAAGTGATTTTGTTGACAATGTTGTGAATTGATAGAGCTTGGCATATATCCTGAACATTCCTATGATTTTTAGGAAATATGATGACACTTTTATCATAGTTAACATGAAGCCCCGTAGTATTAGCAAAGTCCCTTAGAATGATAGCCAACTTATTACAATTCTCAATAGTGGCCTCCCCAAAAATTAACACATCATCAGCATAAAGCAAATGAGAAAGAGAGTAATTATCAAACGAAATGCCTCTAAAACCTCTACTCTCCAGGAGATTGGAAAAAGCATCCATCACTAGGCAGAAGAGATAGGGACTGAGAGGGCAACCCTGTCTAAGCCCTGCAGAAGAAGAAAAGTAGCACTCGAGAGCACCATTAAGCATAATAGAAAAATTAACCTCACTTATACAGACTTTAATCCAATTAACAAAAAGGTTAGGAAAACCTTTTTGTAAAAGCCTAGCTAGCAAGAATTCATGGCAAACAGAGTCAAAAGCCTTTTTTGATGTCCAATTTAGCACAAAAAATATTGCCACCCCTTCTCTTACCAGCAGAATAGAGAATATCACTAGCAAGAAAAATGTTGTTAGTGGAGACTTTAGATTTGACAAAACCCGCTTGATTATTCATGACAATCAAGTTCAAAACTGGCTTCAGTCTTTCAGCAAGCACCTTTGCTATGATTTTGTAAAGTGCATTACATAGAGTAATAGGTCTATAATCTGAAATAGCAGTAGCATTCTTGTGTTTGAGAATAATAGCTAGAGCTGTAGCTTTAACACCCTTGGGCATATAACATTTTTGAAAAAAAGATCTAATTTCCCTACAAACATAAGGGTCAATAATATGCCAAGTTGATTTATAAAAAAAGAAATTGAACCCATCCGGCGCAAGGGCTGAATTTGAGGAACCCGAGAAAACAGTCATTTTAACTTCCTCATCCAGCACTAAAGAGGTTAGACGGAGAGCATCAGTTTGAGGTAGCAAAACCCCATAGGGGAAGCAATCCATAGCCAAATTGGGAGGAGAAGGGAGATTATAAAGACCTTGAAAATACTGAATTAAGGAATTTACCACATCAGGTCTAGTAGAGGCAGGATTGTTAGCTAATAAATTAACCACAGAATTAGAACAACCTCTTATAGTTCTAATTTTAGCAAATAAAAACTTTAAATCTTCCTCCAAATTCCTAATCAATTCACTTTAGCCCTCTGAATAATCTAAGAGGCTAGCATAGAATTGAAATTAGCTAACTCCGCAGAGATCTCCTTGAAATAGAGATTAAGAACCAAATTATTAGGTTCTTCCTGTAACTTAACCATCAGGTCAGCTTGTTTAGCATTCAAAACATCCAAATGCCTAGAGATACAAGTGGAAGAAGACCAAACATCATGTTTAACCGCACATTTTAGCTGCTTCAAGGTATTACTGAAATGAGAGATAGGGTTCCCAAAACAAGGTTTAGAAAAAACCTCCAGAAGAAGAACCCAGTATTTGTCTAATTTAGCCCAGTAATTTTTGAAAAGAAAGCGGTGATGCACCTGAACATTCATACAAGTGTGTAAAATGATAGGACAGTGGTCCGAGCACGAGGGACTTTGAAAAGAGCAGTAAGATTCAGTGAAAGTATTCATCCAACCCTCATTCACTAAAACACGATCAAGTTTGATATGAATAGGATTAATAGTGCGCTGATTGAACCAAGTATACTTAAAGCCAACAGAATGTAAATCCACGAGACTATTACTAAACATCATATTGTTGAAGTCTAACAATGCAGATTGAGTAATAGAAGTACCCCCAAATTTTTCAGAAGCATACCGACAGCAATTGAAATCTCCAATTAATGCCCAAGGGAAGTCAGTTGCAGGAGCCAACTGAACCATTGAATCCCGCAACTCCTTACGGTCAAGAGAGTTGTTAGAAGCATATATAGCAGATAGCTGAAGCAGAGGTTGATTAGCAACCCAAATAGTCCCATTAATAACCTGGGCCGAGATAAAAGTAGGCTTGAAGTTGAGTTTAAATGCATTCCACTTGACCCATATCCGACCCAAAGAAGATAAAACAAAATTATGACAGCTTGCTTCATTTACAAAAAGAGAGTGAGAAGATTAAAAAAAAGGATCAAGTAAAGATTGAGAATTTATCCTGTTTTCCAATATGCAAACCAAGTCTAACTTGAAGGATTTAATAAGTCGCTTACATCACAATACTTTATCAGGGTGATTAAAACCCCTGATATTCCACGCCGCCATGGGTGGAAAAAACATTAAATGTTTAGGTGAGGCTGGAGTTTTTTGTTCTCTTCCCCCTTGTAGGTTTTTTCGAAACCACACTAGCTTGTGTCTGTTTAACCTTCTCCGAGGCCTTAGATTGACCACTGGCAGTATAGCCCTGCTTCCCATCTATGCCCCCTAAGACTTCAATTTGGTGATTTTGTTCTTCCTCTAGATTAAGAACATCAAACTTATTGGGAGATGTGATATCCTTAGGCAGGGAAGAGGATTTAGTATTCTGGGTGGTGGACGTAGATCCGGATTTGAATTTATCACTTATTTTTAGAATATGATTAGATTCGGATTGAGTAAATTAAAATCAGTCCAACTCCACACACTTGTTGCGATGTGGCCCGTGTCAGTTACACGTATCCACTACTCACCGGCTATCACCAGTCGAACAGGTGGAGACACAAAGAACCTACACATTTAACCAGAATCCCCGAAACACTCCCCCCTTCAACCTCTGTTTGTCCATAGGCGACCTAAATCCACCGAAGCTCCGGACCTGCTGCATCAGTTCTCCGCAGTCTTAGAGCAGTTTGAGAAGCTATTCTCCACTGTGATATTCTTTTTTGACGAACTGACGGTGAATAAGATCTCAATCTTAGATATTTTTCTTTATTGTTTTAGCGTTTCTTTGGTTTATTGGCTCTGACAGCACTATGTCATTGTCCCTGTGACTTGCTCCATTGTGTTGAGCTTCCTTTGAGGCGAGACAGTAGAATACGTTATGTTGGTCTTTTCTTTCCGCTTAGTATGCGATGCCTAAGGAGTTTTAGCTGGTTGTTCGATTTCAAGCCCTATTCGTTGAATTTTGCAATTCTTTATCTTTTGGATGTTTTATTAGTTTTTCGTTCTTATAATGTTTTTTCTTTGCTATTGATTAGTTTTTAAGTACTCGTGTTGTTGTTTTTTCTAATTATTATTTGTAGATTCACGTTCCCGATGATTTTGCTTTTTTTTTTTTTTTAATAATCTGGCTCTTAAAATTGAACTCTTGGGAAAAAGAAAATACAAAGAGTGGTTGATGTTCCTCTTGAAAAATTGGAAATTTTATTTGATAAACATATTGATCAATTTATAAGCTGAAATTCATTCTTTAGGTATTGTAAGCCATTCATGGGGGAAAGCATTGGACTTTTAAAAGTCATCATTGTCGAAGGGAAGAGGCTGGCTATTCGAGATTTTATTAGTAGTGATCCTTACGTTATTGTCAGAGTTGGAGAACTGGTAAATTTCTTTATAAATTTCCTTGAATTTTTTTTACATAATGTAATTATTTTATTTTTGACTTTCTAGCAATAGAGAGCATGAAAATAGCATGGTAACTTGACTGTAACGTGATACCTTGGTAATTTGTTTTAGACTCAAAATATCATAGATTTTAAAGTAGACAATAAACAGAAGAAAGCATATTAGTTTTCAAAGGACATTTTGAATTTACCATGTCTGATGCATTGTATAGAGTTTGAGTGGATTGGTTGCTATCAATTTTATGTTCTTGATGATTTTAATTTTTATTAACCATTTCTGCAAACTTCCTCTCTAGTCTACCATTCTTTGAATTGAGATTTTTGTGGTTTGGCACCCTAAATAAAGCCTTCGACTTTACTATGTTGTTGTAAGAAAAGCTTTTAAACTACCTGAAAATACAGAGTGGCTCATCTCTAGCCTTTCTTCTTCCCCTGTTGTTGAAATAGGAAAATATTAAAGTGTATTGTCATTAGCTGTTGGAAGAGGGCTAATTTAATTAAATCTAAAACAATTTATTATAATGAGGTAAGTATACATAGATCTATTATTTATGGGCTAATTTCATCATCATTAGTCTTATCCAAATTTCATGGTCAACTTTATGAATTCTTATTATCTGTTCATTCTTATAGATTTTTATAGTGCTACTTAAGTGTTAAATCTAAATTCTTCTTCTTCTTTTTTTTTGCACAATTTCTTTCTATGTTATCTTTGGTCTGCCAATTTTTCTTCCTAATTTTTTTACGTTAAGTTTAGCTATTCATCTTATTAGTACACTTTTTACACTCCATTTGCATAACTAAACCATATATGCCTATTTTTTACCATTCTGTCTTCAATAGGTGCTACTCCTACGGTACTTTTTATTAATCATTTTTGTATTGATTTTCCTAATCTTGTCACATATCAATATTAACATTCTCTTTGGTATTTATAACTATCTATCAATAGTTTCTTTATCAACCAATTCCATAATTCATCTAATTTTACTTTTGTAGACTTAATCTTTAAATGTATTCTCCCATAGTATATATATATATATATATATATATATATATATATATTCTTTGGCCCACTTCGAGTGGCGTGTGAGGATGGTGATGGTGATATTTGACCAAGAGAAATGGAATGACCAAGTCCACTACCCATTTTGAAAGGTGGGAGCAAAGGATATACGTGGTGATCATCCTCCATCTTAATCAACCTAACTTCAATTCTAATAATGTACATGACCATTATGCTATATATGGTTTAGGATATTAAACTGATTATACCTAGTTATTACTTGATCTTCTAGTACTATTAACTCATAATTATCAATTTATCCTCATTAAAATTACATATCAACTACTTATAAGTAAGTTGATGGTTTCTTTATCTACCATGTTCTATAATATTTTTCTCTTGTTGACCATCTTTAAGTCAATTATTTTATGGTATGAGTATGCTAAAATAAGTTCTTCATATTATGTTCGTCTAAGAAAAGCTTTATATTAAGGGGATGCTTGGTTTGCTAAAAAGGAATGCAGAGTAAAATAGAATATAATGTATTTGAAATGTTTGGAGTTGCTTGGACGAGTGTAGAAAAAATAAAGATGATTACTTTGTTTTTGTTTAGCATGAAGTACAAGAAATGTAGTGTAAAGCTCAATAATAGTGGTGACTTGTGAATGGCAATGGGCGGGCTACTATTGGATGTTGACAGGTAGGCGGTGACGTACAACGTCCAATGGCCGTTAGTGGAGATTGGCAGTGACATTGAAGTCAGCTTGCAATGTTTTTGGAATTCGATTAAAATTAGAATACATAAAATGATAAAAAAATGAACTAGGAAGTAAAAAAGGAATTCACCAAAACTTTATTTATATTCTTTTTTTTTTCATTAAACCAAATACTTAAATTTTTAAATCTCCTAGATTTAGAATATTTTGCATTCCTTTTTCAGCAGATCAAATGGCCCTTAACTAAAACAATGGGATGGTTTAATTTTGCATTCTCCCTAGTATTCCTCTAATATTGATTGATGATCATGATATTACCTATTCATGTAATTGCAGCAATAAACTATGTTGAATATTTGATTGTCTTTGACATACTTGCATAGGATTCTGAGTGCCTCATGTAGTTAATTTTTAAGTTTGAAAAATCATCTTGATCTTGTGTAGTTGTTAGTGATGTGGAACATAAAGGAATTGCAGGAATTTAATAAAATTTGTTAAGCTCACCAATTTAAAATTAATGTTCCACAAAATTAGATTTTAGGATATCTTAGTTGTAGTTTTGCTTTGTCATGTGGTTACAAAATAGATTAGAAGGGCAATTAAAATAGCATCAAAATTAAAGAAAAAGCTAGATGCACAAGTAATAAAAATTCACCAATTAACAGTTAGAGCAATCACCTTGAGTTTTTCTCACTTATACTCTTGAGGGCTTTAGTGGAAGAATAATTTGTGCAACAATAACAATGCTACCAAAATACAGAAGGCTCTTACAGTTTTGTCCAAGGAAAAGTTAACCGGGAAGGAGGTCGGTGAATGATGGAGGATTTGCCACTGGACGGGATGCCGATGTTCGTCGAGAGCGGTATTCAATGAGAAGAAGATCCGGTTGACGTAGTCTTCAACAGACTGATCAATCTCCCAATTGATGTCAAAGAAGGGTGATCTCCACACACCTACTTGTCCTTGATAATCGTAGACGAAGTCATAATCTTATTCAGGATCGGCCATTCATTGGGAAGTAGGCCAAGGGGTTGTGTATCTACTTCCTTGGTTGGTGTATGAAGCAAAGGAGAAGAGATGGAAGGGAGGAGGGAGGGATTTGGGTGGTTGGCCAAGGCTAGGAGAGAGGCTAGCCTTAATTTCTAATTTTAAGGTTTAGTTTGGGGAGCTAAACAAATTCTAAAAATCTAAAATTTAATTTTAGATTTCAAGGTGGGGAAGGAGGGAATAATTCGAAATTTGAATATCCTCTAATTGGGGATAGGTTGGGTGGCACACCTTGATGAGAGGGGCTTTGATTGAGAGCAATAGTGGGAGGGCATTAATTAAGAGAGAGGGAGATAGGGGGGCCGGCCAAAGGAGGGAAGGGATAAGTGTCCACATACAATGTATGTGGCCACATGCATTGAAAGTGGAATTGGAATTAAATCCAAATTAATTTTAGATTGTAGTGATTAGGGGAACTTCCAAAAATAGGTTTATATTAATTTGGAAAGTTTTTGAAATTCAAATTCATTAGAATTTGAATTACGGGACTTTTCTAATTAGAATGCTCTCAATTAGGGAAGTATTAAAGGGCGATTTGAAATTGGAACCAAGGGGATTGGTGGTTTGGCTTGATCGATGGCTAGGGTTGGGCTAGGGATGGGCCGACGGCTATGGAGGGGCATAGCTAGGGGGTTTTGGGTTGATTTGGGCTGGTGGGTGGTGGGTAGGGCCGGTGGTTTGGATAAGAGAAGGGTGGCCGGTGGTGTGGGAGGAGGGATGCCCGGCTGTTTGAGGTGGAGAAGGGGAGGAGGGATGCCCGGCTGTTTGAGGTGGAGAAGGGGAGGAAGCCAGTGGCTTGGAAAGAAAAAAAGGGGAAGAAAGGTAGGGGAAAGAAACCGCGAGCCCAGACTCTTCCTGCGGCTAGCGTGAGATATTTTGCCTCACCTAGGGACTTCACCTTTCTCTAGAGTTCTCAACACTCAAGGGAATTAGCAGGTAGCAAATTTTTTTCATTAATCAATCATCATCCTAATACAAAAGCTAGAGCCTTCATATATAGGCCTCAAGGAAAAAAGACACAAAGATTAAATTGCCCTCTAGGCTATAATACGAACTAATCTCACTCAGGGGTACAATTGTAAAACTAAAATATAAATAAAAGAAATTTATAAAATGTTTCACAAATAAAGACTCCTAATCATAGCCATAGATCTACGAATCCTCCTCTGATAAATGTGCTAGAATCTCCTGCTGATGTCCTCATCGGTTAGTGGATGATGTTTTAGGCCAATTTTGTCAGGGAAGTGTGTTTGGTATTGGCAAGCTATTAAACATTGTGTTTTTCAATTCTATGATGCAGAGTGAATGTGCATTAGAATGAATCTCGAGGAATTAATCTATCCCTAATCGTGAAGTGTCGAGAAATTTCATCTTCCCTATGATTTGACTGACCCCTAATATGATGTCAACCATTGGTTGAACTGTCTTAAGGAGTGTGAGACTGTTAACTTGATTTTGTACCTTTAAGTGGTGAGTATAATTTGTGCATCTAGATCAACTTTCACATGTGATTTTGTAAGTTGAATTCTAGAGACTTTTGTTTTGGTCATGCCCTGGCCCCCCATTATTGAACTTTACTACAGGTAAAAAACAACATCAGGGTTTTGACCAGAGTGTTGACGAATTCACTTGGAGCCCATCTAGTGGTTTTCTAATAGGACCTTGATTAATTTGGTTATTTAATGTTCTATTGTAGCCATAGTAGAAATCTAATTATAATCATGTCTGAGGAGATTTTCCGAAGCTATATTGATTCTTAGTGATATTTCCTATGTGTTTGTGATTATTCCTTTGGTGGTTTATTTTGATTAAAAGAACTCATGTAGCCGATCTCACGTAATGGGATAAAGGCTTGTTATTGTTGATTTATTTTTATTAAGTTTTTGCTTTGATTAATTTAAAATTGCTTAATTTCTATGAACTATCGTAACCATTATGATTGAGTCCATTGGGGGTTTAAAAAGGAATATTAAGGTTATCAAGCAGCTAATCCTTCTGAGTGAGATACCCTTGTTAGTTTTGTGTGGAATCTGATTGTATCAATCAATCGGTTTGTATTGTTGTCTCGAACCTAAATACTATCATTTGAGGTCAAGGAATTTTTCCCTGTGCAGTCGCCATAGCTTTGTATGCTAGAGCGCTGTAGCACTCTAGGCTTGGTTGGAGACAGAGAGAAGAGCGTTGCGGCACTCCAAACCTCAATGCTGTAGTGTGAACTTTAAAAATAGAAAGTGGAGTAACGCAGCGCTTTACACCTTAGTGTCGCGGTGCTTCGGGTCAAGCTGAGCAGTTTTTCCCTATTTTTCTTGCTTCACTTGAAGGTTGCGTTGTTTGGTGGATTGAAAATCATCTTTTTGTCTATTGAAAAGTTGAGTCGCTCCCATTTTCTGACTTTTGCTTGCACGACAGCGCCGCAACATTGGGTTCTGGAGCATTGTAGCTCCCCTGGAAGCGCTGCAACATCGAGGTTTGGAGCGTCACAGTGCTCTGCTCTCTTCTTTTTCCACCAAACTATGCAATGCTTGGGTACACAGTGCCGGGGCACTACATCGGAAAATTTTTTTAGGTTCAAGGCAACTGAACTCAAGCAGGGCTAATGTAACACCCCACAGTACCCCTTAACAGTAAGAGTAGCTCCCCTGGAAGCGCTGCAACGTCGAGGTTTGGAGCGTCACAGTGCTCTGCTCTCTTCTTTTTCCACCAAACTATGCAATGCTTGGGTACACAGTGCCGGGGCACTACATCGGAAAATTTTTTTAGGTTCAAGGCAACTGAACTCAAGCAGGGCTAATGTAACACCCCACAGTACCCCTTAACAGTAAGATAGAGTGTAACAAGAATAAACATACATTTCCATCACTAAATATCTCATTATGATTTAATTACATTAAGACTTCATATAAAAGATCATATAAACTTCATCTAATACTATAAAGGAAGCATGTACCAATTTTCCAAGTTTCATCCAAAACCCAGTACAGAGCCACTAAGGAAAACCAAATAATTTCAAAGTAATACATGTCTAATTTGCTTTCATACCTTGGAAATTAAACTTACTAACAAAAGGTATCCTAACATGAAAAGAAGAAACACTTGCATAAATTAGCTTGCGTCAATCTTCTCTTTTCCCTTTCCTGTAACAACAGCCAGAAGAAAGTTCTGGTGAGCTATGAGGCTCA